TGATTATAGAAATCTTGCTTCATAGGTACCTACTCTTATTTGAACAGAGGACCATTGTAGGGAAGTCTTTTTTTTAGAAGTCACTACACAGTTTTTGAAAAATGTACACTTTTAGTTAATTCAATATTCAATAGGTCAATCATCATAATGCATATGAGTAGGTATTCATTAGTTATACCTAGATGTAACAATCACTATAATACAATATGAAAATCAGTTCACATATTTTTTCAGAAAAAAAATGTGAAAATAGATATTAACCAAGATATATACAGGGTGTCCCATAAACATACCGACAAACTTTAAGGGATGGTAGAGGACATCAAAATGAACATTCTTGCTAGACAAACAAACATACAGACAAAACAAAAAATGATTAAAAGTCATTAATAATAATTGATGATTAGTAAACAAAAGTTATTGGGAGTTTTATTGGTTTTTCAATATTCCAATAAACGCATTGGTAAAATGTAAGGTATAATTTTGAAGCATTTAATTTTTTTTTCATAGATGTAAGAGATATGTTTTTTTTTTCTTCAAAACGAAGGTAGATACGGAAAAATTTCAAGTGACAAAAAAGTTGCATTTTTAGTTGTTCATTAAAAAAAATTATCATAATTACAAAAAATCTACTGGGCGATATTTTTTTTGTGCAAAGCCCGTGGGCACGACCCTGAAATTATTGGGCAAATTCTGATAGCTCCAAAAGATACCTTATAAATGTATCAATAATCTGTGAAAATTTAATTGAATTGACTGAATCGTTTTTATGATATCAATAAAAAATCGATTTTTTTTAAATTTAACTCTCTGTATCTCGAAAACAAAGAGTTTCTGGACTTATGTTTATCAAGCAAAAATGTTTATTTTGATGGCCTCTACCATCCCTTAAAGTTTGTCAGTATGTTTATGGGACACCCAAACACAGGGTTCTTGATACTTATAATTGTTTGTTTGAAAATTTTGAAATATGCTAATGCAAGTTTTTATTCAAGGTCAAATATTTCTAGAATGTTTTTTATCAAGTCAGTTTTCAGACTATCCTAATAAATAAGGTTAATGAGATGACATTATGTAGGTATGTACCAAATTTGAATAATGAATGAATTTGAAGAATATCTCTGTTCTCAGTCCTCACTGAATAAACTTTTTGTCTGAGAATCAATTAAATGATACTTATTAATTTTTTCAACTAAGTAAAATGACATAGTAGATATTTATTTTGTTTCTCTGATAAATAATTGGATTGATAATGAGATTTCAGCACTAAACCAGAATTTTTTTAATTTCTGTAAAAATTCTGATTTTGTGTTGTCAGTTTTCCCCAATGATGTGTTGAATTGTAAAATAGCCAATAATAGATTACCTTTGGAATAGAAAATTGCTTACCTAAAGCTTGAAGTGAACTCATGTACCAAGCATAGCTGAAAATAACAAACCAAACCAGCCCAGCAATCATGAAATAATAAACCATAAAAAATACTACAGGACAAGATAAATTTTCAGTTGCACTTGGTTCAGATTTCCTCAGTGTTCCTTCCTTCTTGCAAACAATGTCTTCTCTGGTATCATTGCCCAAAAATTGTATTAACCACCCACCATAAGATATGCAAAAGCATACATTTACATAAAATATAGCTGAGGCTGGATATTTATTGGATGTCTTCCAATCAATAATGAATGTCATCACAGTAATAGTATTCAAAATGAGACAAATGGATGCACAAACTGCAATGAATTTATGTATCTGATCATGCTCTGTTTCAGTGTAAAGAGAATCTTTGCATTTCAAACCACATCCTTCTACATCTGGAAACCACCACTCTGGTTTATCAGTCTTGACCAAAGGGTCCATACAGAATCCAGTGGTGTTGAATTTAACTTCTTGAATATCATTTTTGCATCTTGTAGGAAACAGACGCTCATCTTCACAATTCAAGAATTCTGGAAACACTGAACTATTGTACAATATCTTACATGGCTCTAGAGTGATTTTACACATTTCTCTTGATGGTAAATCTACCATATTTTTTTCACATTTTGGCATATATAAGGCACAAAGAAAAGGTTGAATCACAGCCCAACACTTGGGAATAAAGCGAAGATAATTGTATAGCTGTAATTTTTCTTGTACTTTTTCCTGACTTGTCAAATCTGTTAAGTTTAAAGTTGTACTATGATATGGTAACTTAGCTCCCATACAGGTAGTGTGGTTCAATGGTTGGCATGTTGCGGGTCTTTGGCAATATCGTAGATTCTTATCAAATAGCTGATCAATATATCTTGTATTGATGTCTTTTGGTTGATCTTGTTCACGATGCCTAATGTAGGGGGTGACTTCGGTTCTTGATACATGATTGTATTCTGGTATACTATCAGAGTACCTTTTAACTATCACACCACATAAAGTTAACTGCAAATGAATTGCCAAAATTAAACCAGTCTTCATTTCATTGGGATTATACTTTTGGAATGGACCAATTCACACTTTTCCACTTCTTCAATAAATTACATTATTATCATGCATCATTTTGCAGGATGTATCCTGAAACTAGAATGTTATGCATTCTGAATCATCGACGTAGACCAGTAGAGTAGACCACACACAAACAGACCACACACAATCACACAAATCACATCACAATGATGGAGATCGAAGAGGTTAAAAAATAAAAAATTGAAAGAAAACAAAACAAAACTTGACAAAACAACAGAAAAGACAACAAAACAAAACGTGAGAAGATGAAAATGAAAAGAAAACACAAGTGCACAGTGCACAAGCTCTATGATCTAGTGCACAACTGTACAAGATTCACAAAACACCTGTTGCTCAAGTGTTGCCAAGTAATCTCAAGCGCGCCGCTGCTGGCTGCCGCCGACCGAGCGGTTGAAGGGCTAATATTTCACAAATGTTTCTCGCCAGTCATGCGAATAGTAGCAAAGTAGCATGCTGCTGGCTGCGGAAAATATCTTAAGGTTCATCAGAAGGTTATGAGTGATATTTACTCCTATTCAAGGCGTAAAGTGAGTTTCTACAACCAAGGTAGTTCTTTTTCATTTTTTGAACCACTATTAAAGCCGTAAAGACACAACCGCTGATATAATTATTATATTATAATTAACCCGAATTCACTGTTTTCATGCGAGATTAGCAGGAATCGCACTAGACTGTCAATTGAAAAGAGGTGCTTTCATAGTGATAATAGGTTCATATTTCAGTATCACACTAATAAAATGATTGAAATATATTGCTAGTGGTGAAAAAAATGTAAGTATTGTAGAATAATATTACCACAGGACGGGAACTTTATACCCCTCGGCGGCTGAAGCCTCGGGATATAATCTTGGTCCCTGGGTATAATATTGATATTATACAAGGTGTTTCTTAAGTACGTGTAGAAAATGCAGGTGCATGTTGCTGACGTATAAATATATGTCCGAAAGTTCTTCGATTCTGAGATACAGGGTGTCAAAGTTGAATTCTTATTTTCTGTTAATGAATTTAGAAATAATTGTGATATTTGAATGAAGTTTTTTCATCTAGGGGTATTCCTCCATGACACTATCAAATTTTATGTTGGTTTGTCTCTTTCGTGGTGGTGGTTCCACTCTCCTTGGGTTCCACCTACATGTCTTGCGTGTCTTTTGAAAAGTCATAACTTTTTTGTGCGTATCTGTATCACGCTTTATGGTAGAAAAATAGATTTCTAGAACATTTTTGTGTAAAAAATATATTTCTGGTAGAGGTCGCTGCGAGCAACTATTTTGGGATTTGAAATAATCGATGCGTTTAAATTAATTCCATGGGGCTCGTTAGTCGCCTCTAAGTAGTAAGTATCAGAAGAGATACGCCAGTGCATTTTTCATCATCCATTCAATATTCTCCTACATTCAACACTGGAGTATCAGCAAAAAATGATTCTTACTTCTTTGTACCTACTTCTTCGGACTTTTCCAATTGAAAAAAAGAACAATCAAATGAAAGATTCCCTAATCATCTACTGCCGGATCACCAGGCATTCCTAAACCTTTTTCAGCGTCTTATGGAGCCTGGGATCCTCTAGAAAAGCTCTAGTGATAGGCAGACCGTTGACTACTAGGACTCTAGAAATTGAAGAAGCTGTTCTTCAGGCACTCGGAGAAGATCCACAGACAAGCACGAGAAAACTTGCGCAAAATTTTACGAGCCCCATGGAAATAAATCAAATGCAACGATTATTTCAAATCCCAATAACTCAAAAACAGTTGCTCGCAGCGACCTTTACCAAGAATATGTGTTTTACACAAAAGTGTTCAAGAAATCTATTTTTCTACTATTAAACGTGATACAGGTACGCACAAAAAAGTTATGACTTTTCAAAAAACTCAAAAGATATGTAGGTGGCGCCATCTCCACGAAAGAGACAAACTAACATAAAATTTGAGATTGTCATTGAGAAATACCCCTAGATACCAAATTTTATTCGAAAATCACAATTATTTTGAACTTCATTAACAAAAAACAAAGATAAAAATTCAACTTTGACACCCTGTATCTCAGAAATGAATAACTTTCGGACATATATTTATAATAAAAAATAAAAAATTGACACCTCCCAGAAAGTTGATTACGAACCACCGCCTTGAAAGGAAGGTGAAGGTACACAGTCCACTAATAAGTTATTGCACAATTGCACTACTTGTAATTTTTAACTACGAAGAAAGAAGAAATATCGTGTGTTGGCCATGGAAATCATATTATATATACTGAGTATATATAATAAGATTTCGATGGTGTTGGTCTATCCCCTTGGGTTTATCCAATGTCAGCTAAATGGAAGGAAAAATCAAGTTGCCTGCAAGCCATTCAGCCGACCATGGCTTATCACAACAAGCAGTACAGCAGCATGCATGCAGCATGCTACTAGTTTCATGACTGGCGAGAAACATTTGTACCATTTTCAATTTCACCAGTTGGCGTCAATATAGTCACTCTACTAAAAACGTGAGGTCAATGTCAAAATCGAAGACAAACAAATCTGCCATTGGTCTGACACCAATCATAATATACCTTCTTGTCTGACACCCACCTTTTCTGACACTGACACGACAGACATCTGACACAACGGACATCTGACAACGACAAATTCTGGAGGTCACAGCACTTAGCAGGAATTTCAGGATTTCCATAGTGAATTTGTGGAGCCCCTCGCCGTGTCTTTTAAATGACCTAGAGAAGTGTGTTTTGGTCTTAGTGAATTGCCCTCTAATATTTTGTAAGAATTAATATCATTTCTCAAAATCTTCAGTTATAATATCACAGGAAATGTTTCGAACTTTAGTCATACGAAGCGATGTTGCTAAGAAAATCTTGAGAAGAAATATTCATGCTAAAATTATAAGGACTTTATCAGTAGAATGTGCCAAGAAAAACCACTGCCACAGGTGAGAATTATTATCACTCAAGTTGCTTGCATTTCATATTTTTCAAATGTTATATAACAGCCTTCATACCACTTCATACCTACAAAGTCTAATTATTTTCATCATGTTTCATGATAGTTGAAAATTCTCTCAGAAATTCCTTCTCCAGAGACATATAGATTTGTATAGGTATGCATGATATATGAATGAGTTGAATTCATGAGTTGATTTAATTCAAGAACATATAACAAAATATTATCATATATACTAACATGTAATTAAATCATTTCATTTTATTTTCACCAAATTGAAATTAGAAATTGGTTAATATATTATAATAATTATTCAACCTGGACATTAAATTATATTTTCATATGAGCATATGTATGCTTAATTATGCAGAAAATATTTATCATCACATAGGTCATCTCTTTATGGAGGGACTCAGGAACTACTTGGAAGATGGGGTGTCATAGAAGAGCCTCTATCAAGATATTACTCAAGCAATCTACCATCTCATACCAGAGTTTCTCTACCTGCTCTTTCTCCTACTATGGAATTGGGTACAATAATCAGTTGGGAGAAAAAAGAAGGTGACAAATTGAATGAAGGTGACCTCCTTGCTGAAATAGAGACAGATAAAGCAACAATGGGGTTTGAAACTCCAGAAGAGGGATATTTAGCAAAAATTCTCATTGCTGCTGGTACCAAAGATGTTCCTATTGGTAAGTTGTATAATATATTATACAATAAAACTTGGAAATATCACATTTGTATATCCATGGCAATGTTTTTAATAAGTTTTGAACATCATAATAAAATTATTAGGTAATGTACAGGGCTTGGTACAAGGTTTTTCAGATTTAATTATACCTATGATAACTATTGATAGAGGATCTCTTAGAGAATACATTGAGGGTTCCAAATCACCATTCTTTGATGTCTATAATGTCTCATAACTGAGATATAGGATGTTATCTTGATTTTAGCAAGATGTTTATGTGGTCACTAAAAAATGTTAACAAATCTTAAAGTTTACTACTAACCAAGAAGGCCTTAGCAGAATGCAAAATCATAAAGGTTCACAAATCAGATTGTACTAATACTGAAAGAACAGGAAACTGTGACTGTTGTGAAATAGAAAGGGTACAGAATATAAAGTATTTAGGCATTTATGTTTATGAAAAGTTAGATTGGGAAAAACATAGAATATACCACAAAGAAAATAAGGAAGGTAATTTACAAGTTTTATCCACTGAAAAATATTAAAACTTATAATGTATGTAAAATGGTTTATAGTCTTGGAAATACACCAAGGCAAAATCTGTTTCTTTTTATTTACCACAAGCTGATTGAGACAGAAAATCACTAGAAAAAGGAACGTCCGAACTTTATTCATATATTTTGAACATTGAATTGTCACTGTGACTTAATGTCAAACAATTAGAGTACTGGTTATACTTCAATAATATTTCGAATTCCTTATATCATAATGGTGAAACGATTCAATGATCAATCGGAAACATTGATTCTGAGTGTGATCGCGTATTTTGTAAAACACGATGATTTCTGCCAAGTTCAAAGAAAGAATGTTGTCAGCATTGCCGCGGAAGCCTTGAATATTTCAGAAAGGAGCATTTATCGGATCAAGAATTCGCAAACAAACTCTGATGCTGTTTATGCAGAAACAGTTCCAAAAAAGGCCGAAGAAATAAAAAAAAAAGGTAAATCCGACAATTTTACAGGCTCTTAGAGATATTGTTCATGAGATGTATGTTGGAAAAGTACATGTTACAATAAAATCGCTCCATAAGCGTTTCACTGAAGAATGGCCTGATTTTCCTTGTTCACCAAGATCGGTGAATACCTGGATTCGCAAAATTGGATTCAAATTCAAGAGGAGCAACAATAGCCAGGTTCTTGTAGAACAACCATCAATTGCAGGCAAGCGTACGACATTCCAAAAAAAATATATCATTTAGATATTTACACATCAGAACATGGTCACAATATTTTGAGATCACCACCTCACCATTGCCATATAATGCCATAGAAATGGTGTGGTCAGAGGCTAAAAGGATTTATGACGCCGAAATCTTCAAAACTAAATCATCCCAGGTAGATGTGATAATGGTCTGGTCAAAGGCGTTAGAAGCTGTGGGTGTGGAGAGCATTGGAGAAATTATGTACGACATACAGAAAAAGTGATATTTTCGGCATGGGAGACGAAGAAATACATAATTATGTGCTTCCAGTATTGAACCTGTCTTGATAACTTTCAATTCAGATGAGAGCGATCGGAGGAAGGGTCAATGAGTTCAAATGAAAATATTTGTTTTTGAAAAATGTTACTTCCTGAGTAATTCATATTAAATTAAGTTGATGTTGACAAGGAATTATTATTCGAAATATAATTCATGTGAGTTATACTACTTACTTACTTTATTCTTGCAGAAAGCCAAAGACAAAACATTTGTACGAAAGAATTTCATGTTGATAATGGATACAGTGTTTTCCGAAACCTCTAGTTGATATGGAGAGTAATACATCTTCACATATTTTCTTTATAATTTTTTCCTCAAATACCTTTCAACATCTTATTTCACGAAGTGTCACTGACTATCAGCTGAAAAAATTCTTTCAGGTCTGAAAATAAATTTTTGAACACTTCGGGGCAAAGAAAAATATCCACGCCCAGTCATCCACAGATACTTTTATATCTCTATATTTTTTTTGGAAATCAGGGAAGAAAACTGATTAATTTTTTCGATATTTTTTTTTGCCAAAGCATCAATCGCTTGTAAATATATTTGCGAAAAACAGATGATGTTGAACAGCTTGAGAAATCTTATAGTTCATTTATTCCAAAATCCGATAAGGTTGAAGTCATATTTTGGATTGCAGCTAATATTTTTAATTTTTATTATCGCTCAAGACAAACGAGAGAGAATCACTATTTTATGTTCGTAGAACATCGTCCATCCCTGGGGTGGAAAGGGAGAGAAGGTAGGTATTGAAATATCAAGAGTTATCCTTATTTGTTCATGGTGCAAGAGAACTTATATTCGAATTTCGTATTTTCAACATTTATTTCGGGTAGGTATTGAAAACATCTCAGGTTTCCCGAACTGATTTTCCGCGACAATACTGTTCAGTGTTCAACTATAGTTATTCGTTTTTCTAGGTAAATATACGAATCTTTGAGAAAAAAAACATGGGAACTTGTAATGGTACGCACATACACTCCTATATCCGTTCTCATGGACTTCGATGAACTGCCATATTCGTTACCATGATTATCATGATTGTCAAAATCTGGAATACTTAAGAATACACATACGAATGGTAACCAGAAATTCTATAGGCTTTTGTTTTGTGACTTGGTGTATTTCCACGACTTTACTACTCCTTGGTAGAATCAATATTAGATTATGACATCATTTTGTGGGGAAGTGAATGCAGAACTATTGTCTGGAGGCCTTACCTCAGCTCAAAAATATGTCATTGAAAGAATGAAGTTCAAAAATAAAACATACTCTAAAAATCTACTCTTTCACTAAAGCAAACTATTTGATATTGACCAATTAAATGTCAAAAATATTATAAGATCCATGTTAACCAATTAGGACTACAAAATTAAAATAGGACATAAATTGTATTCTAGAAGTGCAATAAATAATAACTTAGGCTTGAGTTCTATGAGACATGTATCAGCTAAGAGATATATTAGGTTCATTGGCACTAGGGTATTTCATATGTACTACCTAACTGATTAAGAAGGTGACCATATAAAAGGGTTAAAAAGGAAATCCATGACTGGATTATTGAGAGCCAATATACCTATTGTATACTTTAACCAAAATGAGTTATCAATATTACTATGTACATTATGGTGTATAACTGAAAGAACCTAAATATTGGAGCAAATATCTATTGTTTCATTAAATACGGTTAATTAATAATCAACACACACAGATTTTAAAATCCATCATGCTGATGAAATTTAGCCTAGGTAGGTAATAACACAAACTATTATAATCAATGTGAGAAATGTTTCTTAATAAATGAAACACACTGGTTGAATTCTCAGCGCTGACTAATATTGATAAAGAATATGAAGATATTATGTTGGCACAAACATATTCAAGCTTGCCACCCACAATCATCAACATACTGACGTCACCAACTTGGACATAGATGGCATTACAATAATATTTTGGGTAAAGTGACTGCATTCAACACAGTGATGACAATGGCATGTCATTTTTTCTATTGGTCAATAAAAATCAGCTCCATGTTTAGGCAAAATCCCAGGGCAAATTTGAATGATTTGAACTTTGTGTTGGAAATAGTGTTTTTCTGTGGTTTCACTGTTTTTTTCTCATGCAGTATTATTTTCCATTTGATCAAATATTTCTGCAGAACATAATATTGGTAAATTAGAAAATATTTTTGATAATCATCATAATCATAAGGTTATGTCATCTTCTCTGTCCATAGAAATTAGAAATCCACCAGGTTTAGGCAAAATCCAAGGCTTTGAATGATTTCTACTTTGTGTCGGAAATAGTAGTTTTTTGTGGTTGCCTTGTTTTTTCTCATGCAGTATTATTTTCTATTTGATCAAATATTTCTTCAGAACATAATATTGGTAAATTAGAATTTTTTTTTGATAATAATCATCATCATGTGGATATGTCATCTTCTCTGTCCATAGAAATTACTGAAATTAAAAATCCACCATGTTTAGACAAAATCCCAGGCTTTGAATAATTTCTACTTTGTGTCAGAAATAGTAGTTTTTCTGTGGTTGCTGTGTATTTTCTCATGTGGTATTATTTTCATTTGATGAAATATTTCTGCAGAACATGATATTGGTAAGTTAGAAGATATTTTCAATTATCATGGTTTCACCTCATCCTATTTATTTATTAGATTTCATCTACCTGCATTTTTGTGTGTTGCATATTTAAGACTAGAAAAGTGGAAAATCGAATATTTCTGCAGAACATAATATTGGTAAGTTAGAAAATATTTTTAATAATCATGGTTTAACCTCATCCTATTTATTTTTTAAATTTTATCTACCTGCATTTTTGTGTGTTGCATATTTAGGACTGGAAAAGTGGAAAATCCATGAAAATATAGTACCTACAGTATGCAGATCTGCAATGACTTTGTTGAATGGTGACAGATCACAGAACTCAGACCTAGAAGGCCCCTAACGTGGCTCAAACGACAGATGTGAGCATGCGCAGTATAGATGCTACCATGCCATTGACTGTTTCAGAATTATTTGATTACCAGGTTTTTGTGGTTTTCTTGAAAGAGCAAAACATTGTGAAAAAAGGAATATTATATTCATTATGATGGATTTCTTCATGTCATTAGGAGTGATGTTTCACTGTATTTTCCATTAACTTAATCATTGGATAGAAATGGGCGGGCTAATATAAGTGGTGGTTCAGGCTATATCAGCAAAAATTCATCATGGTTCATCAAAAAAATAACTCAATATGCATATTATATTTTTTTTCAAATCTTTTTAAAGGAGATACATCCCTCTGAAGTCAAGTTTTAGAAATCGTAGGACATAAAACAAAATTTGGTGAAAGTACTTATGAAATGGTTAATACATAGACATAAATTTAAGTTAACACTTTGAAATTCTACGACTTTTCAACTGGATAAAAAGAACTCTAGAAGAATCCCAATCCCGTTCAGT